AACAATCACACAACTTCGTTTTTATAGAATTTGAGCTCAAAATGTGATAAATATCTTCAAAAATAGACAGTTGGCGAGCTCCTACCCAGAATAGTTTTTTTTGCCACCAAGGATCGGCCGGCCATCACTAATGCACGGTCGGGCTTTGATGCCCTCTCCTGTTTTTTGGTTCAAACTCAGCTCAGAGTGGAAAAAGGTCCAAAAATGAAACTCACAGGTTCAAACAAGGTAAATGTTGAAGATTTGAGGTCATTTTGAGAGCTTGATTGAATCCAAATCGCTGTGAATTCAAAGCACACAATTCAACTTTCATTATCGAGTATATCGAACCAAGCGCCTAAGTCTTGCGGACGGTCAAAAATGGGGTGTCTACACTTGACAAGAGGTTTGGTTAATAGATTTTATCAACTTTGGGATTCCTTGCTGGAGCGGATCTTGCTCGGCAAGAGGTTTATTGATGATTTTTATCAACTTTGGAATTCCTTGCCGGCTGGATTTTGCTCGGCAAGAGGTTTGTTGATGGTTTTGACCAACTTTGGAATTCCTTGCTGGGAAAATTTTGCTTGGCAAGAGAGTTGTTGATGGTTTTGATCAACTTCAGAATTCATTACCAAGCTAATTTTGCTTGCGAAGAAGCAAGTGACCGAACTGACCTTGATCGCTAAGAAGCAAGTGGCCGAGCTGACCTTGCTCGCCAACCTTAGAGTTTCTTGCCGAGTTGATTTTGCTTACCAAGATGGAAGTCGTTGAGCTGACCTTGCTCACCAACCTTGGAGTTCCTTGCCGAGCTAATTTTGCTCGCCAAGGAGCAAGTTGCCAAGTCGACGTTGCTTGCCAATTTTGGAGTTCCTTGCCAAGCTGATTTTGCTCGCCAAGAAGCAATTGGCCGAGTTGACCTTGCTCGCCAACCTTGGAGTTCCTTGCCGAGCTGATTTTGCTCGCCAAGGAGCAAGTTACCGAGTTGATGTTGCTCGCCAATTTTGGAGTTCCTTGCTGAGCTGATTTTGCTCGCCAAGAAGCAAGTTACGGAGCTGACCTTGCTCGTCGACCTTGAAGTTCCTTACTTAGCTGATTTTGCTCGCCGAGAAGCAAGTGACTGAGCTGACGTTGCTCGCCAACTTTGAACTTCCTTGCTAAGCTGATTTTGCTCACCAAGAAGCAAGTCGCCGAGCTGACCTTGCTCCCCGACCTTGAAGTTCTTTGCCGAGCTGATTTTGTTCTCCAAGAAGTAAGTGGCCGAGCTAACCTTGCTCGCCGACCTTGAAGTTCTTTGCCGAGCTGATTTTGCTCGCCAACTTTGAAGTTCCTTGCATTTTGCTCGCCAAGAAGCAAGTCGCCGAGCTGACCTTGCTCGCCAACCTTAAAGTTCCTTGCCAAGCTGATTTTACACACCAAGAAGCAAGTCGCCGAGCTGACCATGCTCGCCCGCTTTGGAGTTCCTTGCCGAGCTGATTTTGCTACCCAAGAAGCAAGCTACCAAGCTGAACTTGCTCAACAACTTTGGAGTTCATTGCCGAGCTGATTTTGCTCTCTAAGAAGCAAGTTGTCGAGCTCATTTTGTTCGCCAACATTGAAGTTCCTTGTCGAGCTGATTTTGCTCACCAACTTGGAAGTTCCTAAACCGAGCTAAAGTTGAGTAATGTCATTCATGTTACAACAAAAAGGATTTAAGGCCAACGATCGAGCAAAACGAACCACCAAGCAAAGAGTCTAGCCCGGCCTAGTCATGTAATTCTGATCATGCGAATGTGGACGAAATTAAGGGGCAATTGAGAGGGGACACTAAGCAAACGGGCTGAGCTAGTTGTGACTTGGGCCTTGCCGTTGGATTATGCAACCGAGTTGGCATAGTCGAGGGCAATTTGGCCAAGGTTCTAGATCATGCGGCTGAGTTAGCCCAAGGTCCGGAAGTTGAATCGGGCTAAGCCAAGCTAGGTGAAGTGATGTCCAAGGCCGAGCAAGGTCAGCGGGAACAAACAGAATTGGGCAAACTGAGCTAGTTATTGAGCTTGACCCTGAAGGTCGGCCAGAATTGAGGCTGGAACTGACTGGGCTATGCCTAGCTCGGTGGAAATTGCCAGGTGGTCTAATTAGAGTGCAAGAAGAGAAATCCACCAATGGTGTGCGTCAATACTGTTTGGCAATTTGACCAATGTTGTTTGGCGGTATTGACGGGTACATGTGTAAAGAATAGAGAGGGTAGTACAGCCACACGTCCAGGAAAGGACGAGCAAAGTAATGCGCGCAGAGGCTATATAGACTGAGGGGTGCCTCCATGCAACATAATTTTTTGACTACCGAGAGCTCCATCTCTCTTTTGTCTTCTCTCTCCTTCTTTCTGTACAAGGGTGTTAACTTGACTGTCGGAGGGGTTTTTCGGCAACCACCCGCCGGGTAGCTCACTATCGTTGTGTTCTTAGGTTGAACGGCATCATTTGGAGCAACGAAGAGCTTGGACAATGAGGAGTGCGGATAACGTCGGGTATTTTGCTCCTTGTACAGCAATTTAAACTTGAAATTAATGTGATATTACTGAAGCCCATTATGGTTATGTTGGTTTTGTTGAATTGGATTAGATTACTAATCCCTTAAGATTCGTATCATATCTCACGTTTGGAATATCCCTAGATTGGGAAGAAATTAGTAGAATACTATTATATTCCATGTTTGTTCGGAATTACTTGACATAGACTATATAGTATAAAAAAAATGAGTGAGAATTCCCCAAAGTGATCCACACCACTCATGATGTGTGGAGTGCCTGTGTTGGGCCCACTCATGTATGTGTGGGGCCTATATCATGAGTAGTGTGGATCACTTTGAAAATTGTGGGGGTCCTCGTCCTTAATTTGAGAATATTTTGATTTTTTAATCCTTAATTTGGATCCTCTTTTATCCTCCCATTTTGCTCCACCCCCTTGGAAGAACTTAATAGTTGTTCCTCATATTGGTGATATATGTTAATCCAAAGGTCCGCTTTTGTATCCGAACATAAGATTTGGAATTAGCAGGGATATATCTACTCCAAGCTGATGCCTAATTCTCAAACAAACACTACCTCTTTAGATTTGGAAAAACCTGGCTTATTTGTAAGAGTAGGAGTTTGGTTGGCTTGATTCAAATGATCCACAAATCCTGCTACTTAGGGCAATATAGTTGTGGTTTGTTTTCATTACAACTTCCAGAATATGGAAGATATTATATTGGCTGATACAATTTTTTGGCCTCTCGATAGTGATATACTCGAGTATATTTGTTAGAAAAAAATTGGTTACATAGAGGCTAATTCACGATTTGTATCGGTTTATAGCTGATTCACAATCCAATTTACAGCAAGTGCGGACAATTCATAAGGAAAATGCTTGAGACCAGGGGCGGAGGCAGCATGTGACCAGGGGCCACGTGCTCCCCTGGATTTTGGAAATTTTTTTTTTTTTGCAAACATAAAAAAAAAATTTAATAAAAAATTACAAAAATATTATTAGAGTGAAATGTCAATGACATTTTAAAAATTATGAAAACAATAATGGTTGTTTTGATTGAAAATGAAGAGACTATTATAAATAAACTATATTAGCTATGAAATTTTTTGAATGTAACGACGATATCATTATTAGTGATATGCAAGTATAAGTAATCTCACTATAAAGATATGAAATTTATTAGATTATTAGTTACATTTGACATGTGAGGTTCACTTTTTATGCATTTATTTACCATTAGTGGGTGATATTACATACCAATGATGACATGATATTACCATTATATTGAATTTTTAATCAAATTTTGTATCAAAAAATAATTTATCATTATATAATTTATTTTAAGGCTTACATCCATATTTTTTTTTTTTTTTTGATATTGCCCATGATACACTAGTTATAAATAATATATTTTTTTTGATGCTTTCTGAAATCAATCGTAAAAAATTTACGTGAAATATTTTTTTGTAAAAATTATTATAATTAGTAAGTGCCCCCTCTAAATTAAATTTCTGGCTCCGCCACTGCTTGAGACCCACAAAAAGTTCTCACTATTCTACCCATAATGATATAATAATTCTCAACTTCTAATTTGTTACACATCATCTAATGATTAAGGGCTTAATTCCCTTGTCACATCACTGTGGGTGCATTTGTGGGTCAAATGTGTGGGTCTTTAGCATTACTCATATTCACAATTGATATGATAGATTCAACTGTTATAAAGCTATTTTTTAGTCGTTGATGATTTTTTAAATTCACAATCGTATTAATTAGAAATTATTTTGTACTTTAATGTGCCTAACTAGGGAAATTCTAATATATATACCTTTGAAAAGGGTGTACCATATACATCCATAGTTAAGTCATTTTCTTCTTTAATTGTGAGCAATTTTCTTTTTTAGTTATGACATTATTTTAGTTGTGACTCATGAGTTCTTTAATTATACTTTATATTGTGTTTAGTTATGATATTTTTTTTTATTTTTTTATTTATAACTCAAAAAATATGAAATTATATCATTTTATTTTTTAATTGTAATGCGCATATTTCCCGCCTAACTATTGGCATCTAAAAGTCAACTTTTTAAAGTCAATTATTTTATTTTATTTTTTTTCCCGCAGCTGAATTTTTCAACCTATTACAGTAACATGCATGAAGATTATATATACAACCAATTTCTGGGTCAAAAGTTAACTATCAACTAGGCCATGATCTATAACAAACTCTATAAATCATCAATTACTTTGACTTCTATTTAACTCCAATTGCCCACTGGAAAATAAAGAACATGCACATCTTTGCTACAGCTTAATTGACTTGGTCCATTTTGAGAATGGGTTATGTATCAGAAAAAATGTATAAAATTTGTATATTTATGATATAGATTTAAATTTAATATAACGTGGACTCTTTAAAATTCTACACAATTTTCTGAATATTTTATTTTTTTGGAAAGGTGTTTACATGTATGTATTGTTCAAGTTGACATCAAAGAGGAGGGAGATAGAGGGAGAATGGAGTACAAGCATTTCAGCCATCATCACAACTTGAACCTCTATCAAGTGCATCAAGGCCAAACATTCCATTGCTCAGGCTGCGAAACTTCATGCACTTCAGATTCCATCTATGCTTGCTGGCAATGCAACTTCTTCCTCCACGATCACTGCGGCAATGCCAATCGCTTCATAAAACACCCATCTCACCCTTCCCACCCTCTCATCCTCCTCCCATCTCCGACCTACTGCAGCGGCACCTTCCTCTGCAACGCCTGCGGAGCCGCAGGCAAGTCCTTCTCCTACTGTTGTGCGACATGTGAGGTTGACCTCCATCTCCACTGTGCTTTCTTGCCTCCAAAGGTGAATCACAAGTCACACCCACACGAACTACGCCTCGTTCACACCATTCCAGAGAAAGAGGCATTCTGTGATCATGACTGCAAGGTATGTAACAATGTGTTGCAGAGTAAGCAATGGGGTTATTGTTGTGTTAAGTGTGATGATTTTCATGTGCATACATTTTGTGCTACGAATGAGGTAAAGCCAGGATTGTATCTGGATGACGATGATGATGCTGGCTTGGATTCCGGGCCCGTAGAGGCGACGCAGTTGGGGCTTTTTCAGAGTGGTTGTGAGGATCAATTGGAGGTTCAATTGTCGGAAGAGGCGGTTGTGGAATTGTTTAAGATTCAGCTTCAGATGCAGATGGCCGAGCAACTTGCAGAAATTTTGGCATCACCAAATCACAGTTCCCCTGCTTGAGGCGGCAATATCAATGGCAGGAAAAAGTATTAAATCCACTGATTTGCATTGTAACTGAAATTAAGCAATGTCAAGCTCATTTTTATTTTTTTTTTGTTCGCTGATATTCATGTGATTCAATTGGTATTCGGTTGACAATATTATTACCTCAATGAACTTTGTATGTTCCTTTTTATTCTTGTTCAAAGATGAATTATAAGACGAGTAAAATAATTCAAAAATATTCAAAGATGAATTAGTTAGCATGGTTAGCACTCTATATGAGTCTATAAATAAAAGCTATATATTTCTCGTAATGGTTAGACATCAATGTCTCAATACAATATTTTCAGAGTTCTTTTAAAATTTCTTGCATTTTTTTTCTTCTTTTTCCAGTCAGTTCACTGGCAACATGCAGGGCTTCCATGGAGAATCATTCCTAACTCCACCTGGTGAAGTAGCAATGTTCTGCAGATAGACCAAGTTTTTTCACATGGCGAAAACTACTTGCTTAGAGAATATCCTTTTCTCTGCCGCTTCTTGTTTCTGGATTTTGATCATGTTTCAATCTGTTTGATTACGTGTTGCCTGTGATTCCCAACAATGGTGCCTGGTTCGATGGGGATTTGTGGAAGGCCTATTTATCCGAGAATTAGGTATTTGTCAATGTAGTCATGGAGGTGATAAACCCAGATGGGACTACCTTGAGGAGAAGGTTTCATAGGGTAAAACTTTCTTGCATAGTTCCTTCCCATTCTATATAATTTATAAAACTTTGTCACATCGCAAAAGATTCTTTGGGTCTCATTGAATTGTGATCTTGTTAGATTCTATACATTTGATTATGCAAACCATTTTTTTGTCATAATCAAATGTACGAAATCCAACAAGATCACAACTCAATGAGGCGTGTAGAATCTCTTTGTAAAACGAAAATGTCTTATAAATTTTATAAATGGGAAGGAATGTAAGAAAAATCGAAATTTTACCCTATAAAACTTTCTTCTTAAGGTAGCCTCGTCTTGGTTTATTACCTCCATGACTGTATTGGCGGATCTCTATTTTTGATTTTTTAGTTGATCTTTTTAAACACTAACTTGATTTTACCTACTTGAGTTTGATGGGACGTTGAAGAATATTTCTAAATATTGTATTTCCATATTTCCATATTCTCTTAATTGGGCTGCTTGATTACTAGAGGTTAGGTTAGGTTAGTTTGGTTGGTTGGCACTTTGTGTAAGTCTATAAATATTGAATGTACTTTCTTGTAATAGTTTGTCATCAATCTCAATCTATATTTGATTTTTTTTCCTACAGTTCTAACAGATATAGTTCTTATAATATGTATGAATTATTTTATCATCAAATGATTGTCTGGAGAAGAAAAAAAAGTGTTTAATCATTTTTGTCTCTAAAATTTAACAAAAATAAAATTCTGTAATTTGAAGGAAAACAAAAAAGAGTTTATATGAGTGTTTCTATCAGTAATGCAAGAAATCAAGATGTCAGAAAAATTCAAAGAAAATCATAGTAAAATTTTACAATTTTCGTTATATAAATCAAATTGCACGAAAGCTGACTTTCTTTCTCATCAGTTTTCAAAGTCAATGCCTTTTATTTAAATTTATTCTTTCCTACAATTGAATTTGTCAATCCACTTGCACATTGAAGAACATGTACAACCAATTCTTTAATTTGTTTATTATTACTCTGCATTATTTCGGGGTCATGCTTCTACGGTTGACTACTAATTATTGACTTTAGCCCTATTCGTTTTCACTTTAAAACAAGATAAAAGTTAAATTTATTTATTTCTGGATCGACAACATTAATCCTCATTAATTATTACAATTAAAAATAAAATGACTAAAATAAATTTTAATGAAAGTGCAGGTACTAAATGTAATTTACTCTAAACCTTATGTACAAAACTAAAATTAGAGATGTATAGTCAATGCGTTCTCTCTTTCCACCTTCACCTGATAGCGTTTGCACCAGTGAAAACAGTCACAAACAAACTGAAATATTAAACCTAAAAAAAAAAATTAATGTATTTTTTTTTTTTCATGTTTTTTATTTGAAAAATAGTAGAATATTTTGCATGTGTTTTGTAGAATATTTTGCTTTTCGAGGCCTCAGTTGTTTCCTAAATTTAAAAGATAATTTTTGATTTTTTTGCATGTTTTTTATTTGAAAAATAGTAGAATATTTTGCATGTGTTTTGTAGAATATTTTGCTTTTCGAGGCCTCAGTTGTTTCCTAAATTTAAAAGATAATTTTTGAAAAGAATTTGCAAAATTTTAAATTTTGTTTGGTTATATATTTTGAAAATAGTTGTGGAATAATTTGTAATTTTTTTTTTTTTTTTGTAGTTGAATAAATGAATGTGAGAAAAAAAATTGATTAATTGATATGTAGAATGAAAGTGACGAGCAAAAAAAGTAAAAAATGATTGATTGATTGATGTAAAAAAACAAACAAACAAACAATTAATTTTAAAAAAAAAATTCCCCCATTGTAAACCAAACATGTTTTTAAGGCATTATTTGACATATCTTATTTTAGGCTATGTTTGGCATAAATTTTTTGGGCTAAAATAGCCACAAAAAAGATAAAATTGACTAAAAACTAATAAGACAAAATGTCACATTCAAACCATATAGATTTCATTTTTTCTCTTACAAAAGTAAAAGAAAACTAAAAAGTCCATCCTAAACAAAAAATTTTAGCCCTAAGCTAAATAGTCAAAAAATTAAAAAGTCAACTCACATCCCAAACGAAGGCTGGTGTGTTTGGTAATGTTTACGTTTTTAGTTTATATTTACAAAAATTTTATAAACTGGTTTTTGTTTATTTTTAGAAAAACATAAACTACAAACGCGTTTGATAATTGACAAAATGTTTGAAAAAAATTTAAAATATAAAAAAAAAGTAAGAAATGACAAGTGGTGGCAAGTGGCGGCGGAAGACGGTAGTGAAAAGTGGTGATGGTGGGTGGTGGGTAGCTGGTGGTGGTGGTGGTGGTGGGTGGATGGCAGATACGGTGGCGGGTGGTGTGTGGTAGCGAGTGGGTGGTAGTGGTGGTTGTGTGTGGTTGGTGGTGGTGGTGGCGGGTGGTTGGTGGTGGTGGTGGCAGGTGGGTGGCGGATGGCGGATGGCGGGTGGGTGGTGGCGGTGGGTGGTGGTGGTGGATGGGTGGGTGACGATGGCGGGTGGTAGCGAGTGGGTGGTGGTGGTGGTGGTGGCGGTGGTGGCGGGTGTTGGTGGCGGTGGCAAGTGGGTGGCGGTGGCAAGTGGATGGCGGATGGCGGATGGCGG